CATGACGACAAGTACAGCTGGGAACCTGCCTGACTCCTGCTCAGCCCCAGCATCTCACCCACCACTGCTGAACCAAACACCAGCACAGCAAAAAGGCACAGTTTTGGTCTTGCTTTCTGAAAATGGTTTTAACCCCGTGGATCCCCGAGGCAAGTGCCGACCACATAGACGGCTGCACAAGACTTTCATTCAACAAGCATTGATTGAAAGTTTCCTGTGTACTTTCAACACTTTCCAGACGCCCAGCTCCACAGCCTCGAGGCTTGTGCAATTCTTTCTCCTCTAATCAAAACAAAACCTAACAGCAAACACGTGTTAGGGTCTTCTTAGGAGCCAGCAATGGTGTGCCCAGCAGAGCGAAGGAAAGACATTTTCAGAGGTGTGGGCAGGATTAAGGGAGTTCAACAGGAAAAGACAAAGAGTCCTTGAGCTAAGAACTTCTTGACATGATGGAAGTGGCTATGGGGGTTCAGAGGTAGACTTACCACCTTCCATGTGGGAGACTCAGGATCGGTTCCTCAGCCTCTCAAGCTTAATCACCTCCTGCCTGTCACTAGAGTCTCGAGTGTTGCTGTGATGCTGAACATGGTTTAGTGGAGCTTCCAGGTTCAGATAGACTAGGGAGGCAGACCTGGGAATCTACTAGAAAAAGGCAGCCAGTGAAAACCCTATGGATCCTGTCTGATCTGCAGCCCAACATGGAGAGAGCAGGCAGTGTTTCCTTTCATTGCACATGGACAAACAAAGGGAAAAGGACAGGGATGCAACTACTTGGATGTTACTACATTCATAAAGTAAATACCATGGCCTCTCTCTCTTCCTTCTCTCCAATTCTCTTCTGGTGCCTTCCACTGGCCACTCCCACTGGGAGCCGCAGGACAAGGAGCCTGTGGCTGTCTTTGTTCATGCAGGTGAGCCTCCCAGGGCACAGGACTAGGTGAAGGAGGGGAGAGGACCCATGTGGATGGGCAGATGGAGGCTACCTGGCGCAGAACCTTATTTCATCATCTCATTGAGTCCTGGCAACCTGGTGATGTAAATGGTAGCACATATCTTGTCTTGTATAGTTGGAACAACCTAGACTGGTGAGGCAAAGCAGCCTCGCAGAGACTGGATTCAAATCCTGAACCTTCAGGTGTCTTAGTCCCTGCACCATCCTGTCTGGCAATTAGGGAGGCTCGAGGGAAGATGGGCTCCTGTCAGTGAAAAAGTAGTCATGGGAAGTCTGTTCTGATTTACAAGACTCCAATTTCCTATTAGATAATAGTACCGTGGACTATTCTTCCCCATTGCTATTCTTTTGGTAAAATTTTTCTGAACAGGCTAATAATTCGGTCCCAAACTCACAAACATGCCCAGCAAGGAGCCAGGGAGCCACTGCTGGGTGCCCCGATGGGCCCTCACCCTGACGCTGACCAGAGAGTCCCTGCCCACCAGGGGCCTGCAGGCAGGACATCTGGTGTGTTTTGATGAGTTAAATGAAAACAACAGCAACAACCAAATCAGAATTAAATGGCATGGGTCCTGAGGGAGAGAATGAAAAAAGAAAAATTGGATACTTCATAATTCATTCATCCCTTTGCACAGTCATTTAAAAATGATTATTTTTTAATATACCATGCACAACTCATAGAGGATTTCCTGGAAACTTAAAGTTCTAAACTGGACCCTTTGTTAAAAACCTCATTAATGCCACAGCTGGATTTCCTTGATTTAGCAATTTTGAGTTTAATATTTAATATTGTCACATATTATAAATTATGACTTCTTCCCCCTGGGGTGAAATACCACTTCCTTGAATAATGAGTTGCTTTTGTTTTTGTTATTGTTACCTGAATCTGTTTCTGTGGTGCAACATTTACATGCTCAGCCACTGATTGAATGGTTGGCAGTTCCAGTGTCCCCAGGGGTGCCTGACCAGAAATGTCTATTTCCAAAAGCTCATAGTCATTGCGAACCGGATGGAGCACAGTTCTAAGACATATGGGACTGATGCGAGTCAGAATCAACTCAATGACAACTGGCCATTTACATGTTTTTTTAAAATTCTTTTTTCTTTTTTATTATTAATTTTAATAAAAGTTTACAAAGACTTTGTATTTCCATTCATTCACTCTTGCACTTTCCTCCCTGCCCACCTCTGTCCCCCAGTTGGCTCTTCTCTTTGAAAAGTAAAAGAAAAATTCTTTCATTGTTATACAATCTCTCCTCCCAAGTCCACTCCACTATGTAGCCTTTGTTCTGGACTCCTGTCATGACAATAATACCTAATCATATATCCCTTTTAAACAGTTCTCTCTCTCATCTGTTTCAATGCAGTATACATAATTTATCCCATCTTTCTCAGTCTCCTCCCAACCCTGATGTCTGTCCCGTTTTGCAACAGTGGCACTATGCAGTATTTGTCTCTCTGTGGTTGAGATATATCACTCCATAATGTCCTCCAGGGTCATCCATTTTGTATAATATTTCATTAATTCCTTGCTTTTCAATGCAGTGTATTATTTCATTGTGTGAATATACCAGAGCTTCTCTATCCATTCATTTGTTAATGGACACTTAGGGGTTGTTTCCAACTCTTTGCTATTGTGAACAAAACAGTGATAAACATGGATGTGCATGGCTTTTTACATTTTTAAACAACGTGTTTATGTTGGAGTTTCCAGCATGCTCTGCAATGGTACTAATCACATAATTATATTACCCGAGCTTCTCAAGGACGTGTCAGCTTGCTGGTTGCTGTGGAGTGGATTCTGACTCGTGGTGAGCCTATGTGTGCAGAGAAGAACCACAGGGTTTCAAGGCTGTGATGTTTTGGAAGTAGTTTCCTGAACCACCTTTGAGTGACTTGAAGTTACCAGCTTTTCACCTAGTATCACTTAGTACTCCTAGCAACAATATGATCATAGTGACCCTGTGAACAACAGAGCTGGACCTTGCCTTTCGCTGCCCACATGGACTCGACCATGCTGAAGCATTGGCACAGTCTTCGTTTTGTCCAGGGTTTTCCTCTCTTTCTCTGAGCTTCTACCTTTCCCAACGTGAGGTCTTTTTCCAAGGATGGGCCTCTCCTGACAACATGCCCGGAATATGTGAGATGAAGTTCCATTATCCTTGCCTCTAAACAGCATCCTGGTGGCACTTCCTCCAAGTCAGATTTGTTTGTTCTTTTGGCAGCCCATGAGATATTCAATACTCACCTTTAACACTACATTCCAAACGCACTGATTTTTCTTATGCAATTCTTATTCGTTATCCAGCTTTCAGATGCACAGCAGGTAACTGAAAAGATCATTGTTTGGATCAGGTGCACGTTAGTCTTTAAACTGACAGCCTTGCTCTGTAGCACTTTGGAGGGTCCTTGACTGCAGATTTTCCCAGTGCAATGTCTTTTGATTTCTTGACTGGTTACCATCGGTGTTGATCGTATATCCAGGTAAAATGAAATTGTTGACAATGTTAATCTTTTCTCTGTTACGTTGCCGGTGGTCCAGTGGTGAGGCTTTTTGTTTCCTTGATGTTATGATGTAATTCATAGTGATGGCGGTATTCTTTGATCTGCAGCAAGTGTGTCAAGTCCTCTTTACTCTTGAGTGTGTCATCTGCATAATGCAGGCTGCTGATGGGTCTTCGGATGGCACATTCTTCTTCATATAGTCCAGCTTCTCAAGTGATTTTCCCAACAAACAGATTGAATAGATATGAAGAAAGGATCATGCCCTGGAGGATAATTTTCCTCATTTTAAAACATACAGGGTTTCCTTGTTCTGTTAGACCACAGCTTCTTGGTCTATGTATAGGTTGCTTAAGAACACAGTTAAATAATCTGGGATTCTCATTCTTCTCAATGTTATCTGCACATTCAAATGACTTCATAGTCAACAAAACACACGTAAACATCTTACTGGTATTCTTTTCTTTCAGGGAATATCCAACTGACACCAGCAGTGAATATCCTTCATGCTATGACCTCTTTTGAGTCCAGCGTTGATTTCTGGCAGTTTCCTGTCAATGTATACTATTCCAGCCATTTCTGAAGAATCTTCAGCAAGATATTTCTTGTTAAGACATTGATATTAACAATATACATCCTCTATATTAAAATAATTTTCATTGTCATCCATTTTGTTTGGGAGGGAACATCAAATTTATTTAAGTCGATCCACCTGACATTGGGCCTTTTTGATTAACAAACAGTCTGCTAGGTGTGGGAAGCTCCTTATTTAAAGCTGTTAGGACCCAGAAGGAGGCTCCTTGGAGGCAAAGATGTTGAAGATTTGTCTCACATACTTTGGGCATGTTGCTGGGGTGTGTGTGTGTGTTATTCCTTGGAAAGGGACATTCATGCTTGGAGAGGTGAAGCATCGGCAAAAGAAAGGCAGACCTTCAGCCACACAGATTGACACAGTGACTGCTGCAATGGGCTCTAGTGTGTCAGGAAGTGTGAGGATGGCACAGGATAGCACAAGGCTCAGATCTGTTGTTCATAGGTCACTATGAGTTGTACTTAACTCGATGGCACCTAAAAAGACCGCCACCTGACATTGCCACTAAAAAATTATGAAGTACACCAATACAATCCTTACTCTCAGGGAACATTTGCAGGTAAGGGTGAGGAGCACTAAGCTGGGTAGGGATGGGGAGTCCAGGGTGGTCCAGGGATTTAGAGAAAGGAAATCTGGAAAAGGTTCTTGGAGGAAGTAACAGAGGCTCAAGAAGTTGAGAGCAAGACAGGGGAATAAAAGGCACAGAGACACTGCACCTGTGGCCCCACAGATACGTCTCTCTTCTTGTTGGTGCAGTTCATTAGTCCTTGGGATGCTAACTGCAAGGTTGGTGGTTTGTGTTTGCCAGCTCCTCTGTGGGAGAGAGATGAGGCAGCCTGTTTGTGTAAAGGTTTATAGCCTTGGGAACCCTGTGGGGACAGCTCTGCTCTGCCCTGTGGGGTTGTGATGAGTTGAGCTTTACAGGATAGCCATGTGTGTTTGTTTGTTTGGCAGGAGTACATGCAGCATCTGCTGCGCCTGGAACACCTGGCTGAGGAGCAGTTCCTGGAGCACTGGCTGAATCCGCACTGCAAACCCCACTGTGACAGGAACCTGGTCCACCCGGTGTGAGGCCCTCCAGACCTGCTCGGTGTGTTTCCTTTTCCTCAGCATTCTGATATAGAGGGACTGTGAAGGGACGGGGTCAGAGGACGGCATGCACACGGGCTCCAGCCACTAAGAGAGTTGTGTTAGGGGAATCAGCATACACACAGAAAGTTCTAGCTGTTGTTTTTCCTCTCATTATCCTCCCTTCTCTTCTGTTTTGTCTCCTTTTCTACCACTTCTTCCTTCACCACCACCACCACTACCATCACCACCACCACCACCATCATCATCATCATCACCATCCTAACATTACATTGTTAATCTTTTACAGCAAACAGTATTAAAGGCAACGACCTGGATAATGTTGAACCAAGACAAGGCTCCTCCTTCCTTCATTTATTCCTTAACTGCGGAAATGGAGGTCTTCAGACCCTATGAAGTGTATGCACGTCAAAGCTTATTTTGCAGAACAATGGAAAAATGTATATATATCCAGCTTCATTTTAGTAACCTGCTAAATCATTTAAACCAGTATCTCAAAGGACAGACATCAAATGGCCTTCCTAACAGTTTGTAAAAGGGGGGCAGAAGCAGGACCTTATCAGGGGCTGGTGGGACCAGCACCACTGGAACAGGAACTGCCAGCCTCAAAGACTTAGGGGCAGCAAGCACACCGTTTGGAGATGCTGGGTGTTTTTCTTTCAAACAATCTCTTATTTTCTCCCCTCCTTTTCTCTCCTAATAAATATTAAGTCTGCTTCCTGTGGTGCTTCTTTTTCTTTCACTCCTGGACAATGACTAAGGGAGATAGAAGGAGAATTGATGCCTTTGAGCTGTGGTGCTGGAGAAGAGTACTGAGGGTACCATGGACTGCTAGGAAAACAAACAGATTCATCCTGGAAAGGGTTAAACTGGGTGACTCCTTGGAGGCAAGGATTCTGAGGCTCCGTCTAACACCCTTAGGACATGTTGTAAGGAGAAGGACATCATGCTTGGGAGGGTGGAGGGACAGCGCAGGAGAGGAAGGCCCTCTATGAGGTGGATTGATTCAGTGACTGGGGTAATCGGGATGGGAGTGTCAGAGACAGTGCGATTGGCACAGGACAGAGCAGAGTTTAGGGCAGTTGCACATAGGGTCGCTATGAGTCGCAAGCAACTCGACAGCACATAACAACAACATATACTGAGAAGCAGAAGTTCGTTCTCCCCCTTGTTTATCTTTGTAAATCTCTCATCAGAAACCTTACTAATCTTTCAATAAATGAGTGGACAAAGACATGAACCCCTGGAACCTTGGCCCAAGGGTTCCTTCCTTGTACAGAGACTATTTGCCTAAGAGCAGTTCTGGAAAAATGGAGTTTGAACCTAATGCCAGGTGTACATGCACAGGCGACATTTCCTGTGGAAAGTGAGTTGCTGCTGCTGTGCCCCTTCCTGTCCCTCCACTTGAAGAATCAGTGAGAGGATCATCAAAACCAACAAAAGCAGACCTTCAAGGGGAAAGAGGATATAGGCTGAATGGTACCAGGAAGTAAACAGTGTGACATCCTGAAAGCAAGGGGGGAAATAGCGCCTTGCCCCTGAGCTGTAGAGGTGGGCTTGTGTAAGGAAAACTGCACATGCACGAAACACAACTTCATTATCTTACAAATTCACAGGTCAGTTCAACACAAGTTGGACTAGGCTCAAATCAAAGTGTTGGCAGAGGTGAATTCCTTTCTAGAAGTGCTAAGGGAGAATCTAGTTCTTTGCCTTTCCCAGCTCCTAGAGGTCAGTTGTATTCCTGGGCTTGGGACCCCTTCCTCTATCTTGAAAACCAGGAGGGGTCTTACTATATCACTCTGATTTCTTCCTCTGCCTTCCATTTTTAAGGACCCTTATGTTTTCACTGGGGCCACCAAGACAATCCAGTTTAACTTCCCTTTTTAAAAGTCAGCTGTTTAGCTAACACATGCTGCTGTTGTTTGCAACTGAGCTGGAACCAATTAATAACTGAGTCTCCAGTGGCTTTTCAGAGGCAGTTAGTTGCATGGGGGAAGATTGCCCATCCTTCTTCCATGGAGCAGCTAGATTCAAACCACATGCTTTGGGGATTGCAGCACACCTTCTTACCACTAAGCCACCAGAGCTCCCTAGTTAACTCATAGTGATCCTGTAAGAAAGAGAACTGTCCCAAAGGATTTTTTCTTTATGGAAGCAGATTGCTACACTTTTCTTGCAGAGAGTGACAGATTGGGTTATCTGGTGTGGAGACATGCTTTCATGTGTCATGACCAAATTTGTTGTCAGCATTTGCGAAAAAAGTATCATTTAATTTTAGGTATAGGTCTCAAGGATACATGAGCATTTTTATTTAGAGATGAGGAAATCAAGTCTCAAGTTAGTTTACTTAGCTACCCATTACTTGTATACCTAGAAAGAGGACAGCTGGGATCTGAGCCTTACTCGACCCAGTTCTCATTCTGTTTGTGCCAGCGTGCGTGACCTTGTCCAGCAAAGAGGACGAGATGAGAGCAGAATGGTCCTGGCACACAGATGAATGGAGTAAGTGTCCAGGGACTATTTTAACACGGGCGATGATGGGTGAGGGAGGATGTACACAGCTGTAAGCAGGGAAGAAGGTGTTTGGGATGGAAGGAACAACCCTGAACAAGGATGAGCTGATGATCAGACTATGATGAGTATTCAGAGACAACAGGAAAGTGAGTTGGGGAAAGGGGTTGAATGAACTTGAACATGGAAGGATAGGTTAGGGGCAGAGTATAGAAGATGTCAGAGGCCAAGATTGGAGCTTACTTTGATTGGGAAAGAGGAAATCACTTGCTATGCATCAGAGAGTTGGACAATGACTAGGGAGGATAGAAGGAGAATTGACACCTTTGAGCTGCGGTGTTGGAGAAGGGTACTGAATGTACCATGGACTGCCAAGAAAACAAATAGATTCATCCTAGAGAGGGTTAAACCAGGCTGCTCCTTGGAGGCAAGGATTCTGGGGCTTCGCCTGACATACTTTGGACATGTTGTAAGGAGAGACAGGTCTTTGGAGAGGGACATCATGCTGGGCAGAGTGGAGGGACAGCACAGGAGGGGAAGACCCTCTATTAGGTGGATTGATTCAGTGACTGGGGTAATCGGGATGGGTGTGTCAGAGGCAATGAGATTGGCACAGGATAGAGCAGGATTTAGGGCTGTTGTACATAGGGTCGCTATGAGTCGCAAACGACTCGACGGCACATAACAACAACAACAATATGTATAAGGAAGGCTAAGTTTGTATGTATAAGTTTATATGTTTAAGTTTGGCCAAGGGAGCTCTGGTGGCCTAGTGGTAAGAAGCAATGTTGCCAATGTGAAGACACGTGGTTTGAATCCACTAGCTGCTCTGAGAGAGAAAGATGGGAAATCTCTTTCCATGTGACTGTACTGTTTCTGAAAACCCACTGGAGGGTCAGCTATGAGTCAGTTCCTACTTGACTGTAAATGTCAACAACAACAACATTAATGACAACAGTAGTGTTTGGCCAAGTGGAAAGCATAGCCTAGGAGGAGAAGCAAGAAGCTGGTGAGAAGATCCTAGAAGGTCAGGGTTTGAGGAAAAGTAGATGTGAGCAAAGGAGGATGGAGAACATGGGATGGAGGTATAACCAGCCGTGGCGACTGGCAGCAGAGACCACTACTAGAGCTGGAGAACTTAGAGAGAGTTTTGTTGATGTGGTTTGGCTTCACCTCAATCTTCTCTTTTACAATTGAATTCCAGCATGCATGTGAGAATGTTGTCCAAGTCCATTCCTGTGGTTGGAGAACTCTAGAGTCCCAGTTGACGACTCTGTGAGGCTGACCTCTTTGGAACTTCACCCAGGACCTCCTACTAAGAATCTAAACACAAAAGTGTCCTCTTGGGAAGTTTTTCTGTGATGGATCAGAAACAACTTTCCCAAGTATATTCTCCTAGTGGAGAACAGGAGGCAGCTGGTAGACCTCCATGCTGCCTGAAGGACTAGGATTCAGGACTGATGAGCATCAGCTCCTGAATGAATACATGTGTTTCCTGAAATTGGTTAAGATCATTATCTGGTGCTCTGTGTCTGGAGTCAGAAAAGATGCATAGAAGCAATCTCAAAAGACATTCCATTTCATATTTCATTTAGCCAACTGGAAACCCTTTCAAGGAATCATATTTATTTTCTCCAGGGGCTCAAAGAGACATAAGTCCGAGTTTCAAATAAACTGTCTCGTGTAGGACACAGACATATTAGCATGGAATTGAATGACATAGACCTGAGATTGGAAAACTTTTCCTGTGAAGGCCCAGGTAGTAACTTTTGGGGCACATGGTCTCTGTCATCACTGCTCAACTCCGCTGTGTAGCAGGAAAGCAGCCACAGGGAATCTGTACACACGTGGACTTGCAGGATTTCGCCTGTAGACCGGAGTCTAGAGGTGTGATAAGCGTCATGGCAGCGGGAGAGGCGCAGTATAAAGAAGAGAAACCTCCTTTCGGAGCGAGGTGTTTGCAGCTCAGTCACCTTCTGAGCTGTGTGACTAAATGAATCACTTAACCTCTTCAACTGAACCAGCTTTCCCATTTTTGTTGCTTTTGTGTGCCGTCAAGTTGGATTAAAGTCATAGCTGACCCTCCAGCTGATTTTCAGAGGCTGTGAGTTGCACTGGAGGAGACTGGCCATGCACTTCCCATGGAGTAGCTCATGGATTTGAATCATGTACCTGTGAGATTGCAGAGAAGGTTCTTACCACGAGGTGGCCTATACTCTCTTTCCTCTCTTTAGTCAAGATAATTTTGGCCTCTGGATTGCTGAGATTATTCAGTGAAAGGACGAGTGTTTTACTGAGCATGTAAACTGGGTCAAGCACTGTGCTAAACACCTTAACTGTATTAATTCATTGAGTCTTTGCAGTGACTCTGGAGTTAGGTACAATTATTATCCCCATTTTACAGCTATGCCCAAAGTCATATCGTTGCTCTTCAGTGCTGTGGAGTTGATATAGATTCATAGAGACCCCAC